GAATCCTATACAACCACAACTGAATTAAAAAATAAATTATCATATCAGCTGGGAAGGGAAGAAAAGCCATCTAGTCAGGACATATGCCCCTGGGAGTGGACTCAGGGAGAAGGAGATGACACAGGTGGACACCCATCTTGGGGAGTGAGTGGGGCAAGCCACAGACTGGGAGGTCCCAGTCCTGGGGTCCTACTCAAAAATAGAAGGACTGTGAAAGCCTGGGCTCCACTCGTGAGTCACATTGGCTAACCCTAACCTTAAAAACATGTTGAAGGATCTTCTCTTAATGGAAAAGAGATAAGAATATATAGGAAAGGGAAAGTTTTTACTTGGAAAGGCAAATAGATAGGAAGAACTGAAGATCAACAATGTAAATAAGCCAGTACTTTGACTAAAATACAAAAAAAAAATTGTGAAAGCATCTTTAGTTACAATAAACATTTGAGGGGAAAGCAAGAAGATATAAAATAAAATGTGGGAGAGAGAAATAAAATGTGCTTGAACTTAAATGAATACCAGTTTTAAAAAGTATATACAATTATAGGGCAATGTATATGAACCCCATAGTAACCACAAATCAAAAACCTATGATAGATAACAAAGACAAAAAAGAAATGAATCCAAGCAAGCTACTAAAGAAAATCATCAAATTACAAAGGAAGAAACAAAAAGAAGAAATGAACAGAGATGAACTAAAAAAACAACCTGAAAACAGGATTTAAAGTGCAAATAAGTACACATTTATTAATAATTACTTTAAATGTCAGTGGACTAAATGCTTTGGGGAAAAATGACATAGGATGGCTTATTGAGTAAAAGAAATAAGACTCTTTGATATTTCTACCTACAAGAAATTTCTACCTGCAAGAAATTCACTTCAGGGTTTGAGGCATGCACAAACTGAAAGTGAGGGGATGGACCAAATTAGGGCTATGGGATTCACAACCTAGTATGTATAAAATACATAAGCAACAAGGATAAGTTGTATAGCACAGAGAATTATAGCGATTATCTTTATAGAGTATAAGCTATAAAAATATTAAATCACATTGCTATACATCTGAACTAATATAATATTGTAAATCAACTATACTTTAATTTTTTTAAAAAGAGATGTTGAACTGAAAATAATAGCAAATTAATAACAAATGTTTACTATAAGTTGAAACCAGATTAGCTATCAGAAGCTAATTATGTATGGAAAATACACCTTAAAAAAAGATTTTTTTTTTCCCTACGTTATAAGCCTTCCTGCTGCCACATGCTAGTCCACACCAATCTAAGATCTGCAACATCAGAGGATCGGATAATCCTTGCATTTCAAACCATTGCTTTCCATGATTCATACATATTGTTATTCCTTTGGCTATTTGTTATACACAAACTCATTCTTTCTTAGATTATGCTAGCTGTTTCTCTGAAGTGATTTTCCCCTAATTCAGATCTCAAATCAATTATCACCTCCTTATAGAGGACACCCCTGACTACCTTAAGCACATTTAACTTTTTTTATTATTTTTTGGCTGCACCACACAGCATGCAGAATGTTAGTTCCCCAACCAGGAATCAAAACTGCAGCCTTTGCAGTGGAAGAGTGGAGTCTTAACCACCAGACCACCAGGTAAGTCCCCTGACTACCTTTTTATGACAAAGCAATCCTTTGCCTTTTTCTAAATCACATCATAGTGCTTAACACCACTGATATTCTTATTCTCTTTTCTCCTGTCCTCATTCCTTTTCTGTTCTGTCTCAATTCCCTAAAAAAAAAAGTTCTATGGGAGCAGAGATCTTTTCTGTCTTCTGGTCCCTCATAATGCCCACACCTACAGTAGTCTGGCATACTGTGTAGGCCCTTAACACATTTTTGTTAAATAAATAGTAGAATGAATGAATCCTAGCCTTAGAAGGGACTACAACATTTAACATGAAGATTTATATATAAGAGGTGCTTCAACTGTGTTTTTGAATTAATTAAAAATAGAAGAATCCAGAAAACCTATATTATTGGAATGTGTTAAAAATATTGCTGAATTAGAATGCTATAATCGAGTTCAAATCCTCACACCAAGGTTGAACAGCAAACATCCACTTTTCCTTTCTACATTCTTATCAGATTATATGAGCTGTGTGAGAGTGATATTTTGGAAAGGCCTGGCTTCTTGCATAGCTATCATTTTACTGAGCACATCTCATATACCAGACATCATATCAGGTACTTTACATGCATTAGCTCCAACTCTGAGAACCAAAACTGTAAGTAATTTGTTGTTTAGTCACTAAATCGTGTCTGACTCTTTGCTGCCCCCATAGACTCTAGCCCATCAGGCTCCTCTGTCCATGGGGATTCTCCAGGCAAGAATACTGGAGTGGGTTACCATTTCATTCTCCAGGGAAACTTCCCTACCCAGAGACCAAACCTGCATCTCCTGACTTGGCAGGCAGATGCTTTACCACTGAGCCACCAGGGAAGCCCCAGTAGGTAATTTGCCCAGGTCCAAATGTTTATTAAAGGCAGGAATGGCATAAGAACCCCTTCCATTCCATCACAGTGTAAGTGTTTTCACAAGTACTCTAGCACAGCAGTCTCCAACCCTTTTAGCACCAGAAATGGATTTCATGGAAAACCATTTTTCCAGGGACCGGGAGTGGAGAGGTTGGTTTGGGGATGATTCAAGTGCATTACATTTATTGTGCACTTTATCTGTAATCTGATGCTGCCGCGGATCTGAAAGGAACTCCTGGTCCTTGGCCTGGAGGTTGGGAACCTCTGCTGTAGCAGATCAAGGAGGAGATTTCAGAGTTGTGTGTTTGATGAGATTTAATAATTGGTATATGCCCACAAATCCATCTCATTTTTATCCGTGCCTGGCATGTGGATGAAGAAATGAAACTCTGTTTGTGGTTTTCCCAGTTTTTGTGTCTTAGGACAGTGATTTAAAAGTATAATCCTCAGACCAACATGACAGCTTATCCTAAGGACATATTAAAATGCAGATTCTCAGGCTTCATTTTTGACCTACTGAATCAGAAACCTGGGGATGGCAGGGAAGGGCAAAACTCTGTTTTAAGTCCTCCAGATGATCCTGATTCATACCAGTGTTTGAGAATCACTGCTTCAGGGTATCTTTTCAGAAGCAATTTCAACTGAAGGATACCTACGTATCAATGGAGAAATGGGGGTAGAGTGACCAGTTGTCCTGTTTTTTCAGGCCTGAAGGGTTTTCCAGGATGTGGAGTATTTAGTTTTAAAACCAGAACAGTCCTGGACAAAGCAGAATGACTTAGTTTTTACATTAGTTTTTATTACTGTCATAACAAATTACTGCAAACTTATAGCTTGTAGTAAGTAACAAAAATTTGTTATTTTTACAGTTCTGTAGATCAGAATTCCAACATGAGTGTTACTGGGCTATAATCAGTGTTAGCGAGTCTGTGTTTTTTTCTGAAGGCATAGAAAGAATACTTTTTTTTTTTTTTTTAAGTTTCTAGAGGTCCCCTTGCTCTGACTTCAAAGCCAGCAATGCTATTTTTCTGTAACTAGTATCCTGTAGTCATATCTTCTTCTGACCATAGCTATGAAAGTTTCTTTGATTTTGAGGAAGGACCCATGTGATTAGATAGAACAATCAAAGATAATCTTTCCCTGTTAAGATCCTTACTTTTCTCACATTTGTAAAGTCCTTCTTGCCATGACAGGTAGCATATTTATAGGTTCCAGGAATTAGAATTCCTGGATTAGAATATCATTTGGGAGCCAATATTCTGCCTACCATGGTTACCATGACTGGAAGTCTGGTATGTGGGAATTTTCAGTATTGAAACCGGTAAAGTCCAACCAGGACAAGTTGGTCCCTTAATTGGGTGGTAGAGGGCAGAGAAGAGCTTTATTGCTGTGGGAGTGGCCACATCATGCTGCGGTGAAAAAGACTCTAAAAGCAAGCTCTGAAGTCAGACAAAAGTCAAAAGGAGGCAGGTCGGTTTTCCTGAATTGCCTATTCTGTGATTTTGTGCAACCTGATCAAACTTCCTCTTTTTCATGCTTGTGACATGATCTCCTATTTGTGGATTTTGTGTGTATGTTGAGTATAACCAAACTAATTTATTGTTAGTTACTAACCATGGGTAATTCACTGTTTCTTATAAAATGCTACATTAACTACTGCTGCCATTTAGTTATCAAGTTTTGAGGGGAACAAAAACAAATCATGACTTTAATTGTCTGAATCTGGCTCTGTGTGTGTGATCAGCATGTGATCAGGGCCTTGCTGAGCCCTGAAGAGAACTGGGAAAACATATTAGCAGAAGTGCAGGCTGTAGTAGTAGCTCTTGCAGGGAAGTAATGTTCCATGAGTATTTTATTGTATAGAGCATACAGTAAGGATTTATTTATTCTCTGTAAATATCTGACTGTCTCTAGTTGTACCATTTCTTCAGGTGAAACACCTCCAAAGAAAATGCCTTCTAAAGTGTATGGAAATAAATGCACATATAAAGTAGTGATTATGCTGCTGAAGCTTTGTGAATTTAATATAAACATGGGTAGATGAAACCAACAACTGTTCCTCTTCATGTTAACCAGGAGACGGGGGGTGGAAGTAGTTGAAGGTTTTGCCCCTGGGAGGTCATAGGTGCTATCCTATTCTACATTATGATACTGACCCTTTTCTTTAAGGAGAGAGCATAGTCCTTATAATGAAGATTGACATGGAAGGACTCAGATGCCAAATCTTTCCCTTATTCACTATGTGAGCTAAGGGACATTTCTCATCTTTCTGATCTTAATTTTTCTCATATTTAAAAAATAACAATACCTTATATTTGTGTGAAAGTTAATAATGTTGTATTTGTTGTTTTTCAGTCACTAAGTCATGTCCAACTCTTTGCAACCCCATAGACTGTAACCTGCCAGGCTCCTCTGTCCATGGGGATTCTCCAGGCAAGAATACTAGAGTGGGTTGTCATTTCCTTCTCCAAGGGATCTTCCCAACCCACGGATTGAATCTGCATCTCCTGCATTGGCAGGTGAATTCTTTACTGCTGAGCCACCAGGATATATTTGTTGTGAAAGTTAATAATAACATACATGAAGTAAGTATGAAGTGTCTGGTGCAGAGTTGCTAAAAATAAACAGTGATCATTAACATTATTGGTTCACTTTTTAAAGGCATCTCCAGTAATAATTAAGGGTTTGTCAAGGGTGTTTAGCATAGTAGTAACTATTTTCACTCCCTGAAAGGCCATTCATTTAACACGCTTTCTATTCTGTGTCAGGCTGAAACTGAGGGGATAAAATTAATAAATGAGTAATCCACAATTCCTCCTTGGAAGGAAAGTTATGACCAACCTAGACAGCATATTAAAAAGCAGAGACATTACTTTGCCAACAAAAGTCTGTCTAGTCAAGGCTATGGTTTTTCCAGTGGTCAGGTATGAATGTGAGAGGTGGACTATAAAGAAAGCTGAGTGCCGAAGAACTGATGCTTTTGAACTGTGGTGTTGGAGAAGACTCTTGAGAGTCTCTTGGACTGCAAGGAGATCCAACCAGTCCATCCTAAAGGAGATCAGTCCTGGGTGTTTATTGGAAGGACTGATGTTGAAGCTGAAACTCCAATACTTTGGCCACCTAATGTGAAGAGCTGACTCATTTGAAAAGACCCTGATGCTGGGAAAGATTGAGGGCAGGAAGAGAAGGGGATGACAGGGGATGAGACGGTTTAATGGCATCACTGACTCAATGAACATGGGTTTGGGTGGACTCCAGGAGTTGGTGATGGACAGGGAGGCCTGACGTGCTGCGATTTATGGGGTCACAAAGAGTTGGACATGACTGAGCGACTGAACTGAACTGAATCCACATCTTCTAGGAACTCTCAGTCTCCCTGGAGAAATGACACTTGCTTGAATGGGAAGCATCAATTAGTGATGTTTGGAGAAGAGAGTATACCACACTTTGGGAGCAGCATGAGTGAACCAGAGCACAAAGGTGAGATACAGCCTGGTCTGTGTTTGGAATTACACATAGCTTGCTATGCTGCATCATATTAGGAAGCAAGTAGTCAGAGTTGAAGCTGAAGACACTAGCTGAAGCATGAAAGACCTCCTGCAGGAAGGTTGGCAGGAAGCTTGGACATTATCTGTGCATGGTGGGGATCCATTGATGGTTTTAAGTAGGGAGTGATGTGATCTAATTAAGATTTTTAAAATGTCACCCCAGCCATTCTATGAAGAATGGACTAATGGCAGGGAAGGATGAAAGGAGATGAGTGAGTTGGCTTTTTCAAATATGTTATCTGCATTAAACAAAAACAAACTAAAGTTATTTCATGAGACTTCAATTAAAGAACTAAAAAGTGTGAGTAGGGTTAAGGGAACCACCAAGACTGTTAGGGTTCTCTGGGACTAGCAACAGTAGGAATGGTTACCAACCCCAGGCATGAGGGGTGGAAGGAACAAAATAGTAAGAGCTGGAGCACCCGATAGGAGCTGAAACCTTATTTAGGGCAGGTCCTCCAAAAATTGACCCCAGAGGAGGATTACTATGTAAGTAATTTATTCAGAAAATGTTTCCAGGGGAACTTGGTAAGGAAGTAGGGGAGAAAAATGTGCCTAGACACTATTTCCCCAGCATATGGTGGAAGGAAGTTGCTGTACAATGAGTTAAAGGTAAAAGGGAGTCAAAAGGTATGGTGCCAGGTCCTCTGCCATGTAAATCATGAATATCTCTTATTTTTAGTTTGATCACCTATAAGGTAGGGAAAATGCATCTTTTCAGAGCCATTGTGGGCACGAAATAAGGAAGAATAAGGAAGGGCTTTGTGAGAGGGTATGCTATTGTCAGGTGCTCGGATGTAGGAAAATTGTAAATATTTTAACCTGACTAGTCTGGAGAATATGAGTTCAGAACTGGGACCATGCATGGGGGCTCTCCTTAGGTCTCCTGGGCCCTGTGCTTGTGCTCTTGGCCTCATTTCAGACAGTCTTTGGACACTATGACAAGCAGAAAAGATACTGCTGAATAAATTTTTATGATGTTAAGAGTAATTTGGAGAGATGTTTTTAAATATTGTCATTTTAAAAAATTGAGTATAGCACTTACATAATGGTATGTAGGGACAAAGTCCTATGGTTATTTTATTTTTAAAAGCACAAGTACATTTCAGCAGCTGTGAAGCTGGGGAGATCCCAGCTGGGAGAAGGATGTCAGGTCTCATTGTCCTCTCAGCCCACTGAAGCCCCTCAATAAAATGGTTTAAACTGCCCCCCCAACCAAAATCAAAAGTATCTGATTTTGAGGCATTATTACAGTATGGCTCTGTTGGCCATCAAAACTGTTATCTTATTGGAAATCTGAGGGAATATCAAATGAATAGAATTGTTGCTCCCTTAAATGATGTCAAAACCTAATTAGTGTTATTATTGGCATTTTATGTTTCCCCAAACTTTTCTATAAACATCTGGGACATAGAGTAATTTCTTATTAAATAATAACATCCATGACACTGTGAGACACTTGGTAAAACTTTGATGTGGAGAACCCTCATTATCTCTGAATGAGAAAGAGATTATCTTGAGGAGAAAGGCAGAGTAGAAAAGTGCCGAGGCATCTGATTTTCTTATGATGGATGCACAGGTTAACTTCCTCTGGTGACAGCAGGAAATACTGGTAACCTTGGCAACACTGGTGGCCCTTCCCATCCTTTTCTAATTGAAATAGCTGTTGCTAGGATACACCCTAAAGCAAAAAAGAAGATAAAAGAGGGGGAGCAAGAGAATGAGAGATATGAGAATGGAAGGGGGAGAGAGAGAGAGAAAAAAAATAAGAAAGACAATGAGAATGAAAAAGGAGGGTAAAATGAAAATATTGGATGGTATTTGAAGGGCTGCTGCTGTTGCTGCTGCTGCTGCTGCTGCTGAGTCACTTTAGTCGTGTCTGACTCTGTGCGACCCTATGGACAGCAGCCCACCAGGCTCCTCTGTCTATGGGATTCTCTAGGCAAGAATACTAGAGTGGGTTGCCATTTCCTTCTAGAATTTGAAGGGCAGACTTCCATTGATTGCTACCAAAATGAGAGTGCATGGGGTAGGGGTAATGGTAGAATGTTAGTTCCTGATTTACTAAAAATCAATAATTCATAATTCATTTTGAGTTTTCTCATGCAAACCACATATCCTTAAATGAGGGTGTTTTCATATTGGGTTGGAAAAGAAATGTTTATTAGCTCTCTATCCCTTAACAACCCCCCGTCTGCATTCTTTCTTCTGAGGCCTCATTTCTCCACTAGTCTGAAAGTAAAATTACTGCAAAGAATAACATTATATTAAAATGCAGTGAATGCTCCCTGTCAGGAGGACACAGGTGAAGTTTCTCCAGCATCTAGGGGAGACCACGACCCCATCATCCATGCTTCTGCCCTCACAGCTTCCATCCATGTCTATGCTTGGCTATTGTGTGAAGACAATTTCAGCATCTGACAACTTTTGAGTTCAGGGAACAGGTGATGGTTGCCCTGGGTGATTGTAGCTTTTGGTAGCCTGGGAGTCATATTATGTAAAACTTACAATTGAAAAGAACTGCTAGCCCTGATGAACATTCGCCTCTCCTGTGGTGTAGAGAAGAGTTACCCTGGCCTCATCCCCTGTTTCTAGAAAATGAGTGAGTCACCCAAAGTAGTGCCGAAAGTAATTAGGTGGCCTTGACACCTTAGGCATTTTGCTACAATTGAAGGGATTTTGTGTGCTTTGTTCACCGTGGTATCGTCAGCACCTAGATGGGAAATAAGAACCGGTCGGAGCTCAGTTAAGTGCTGATGAATGAAAGAAAAGAAATCACTTCAACTTCCTAGGCCAGAGTCATCTTATCATTTCCAGTTTTAGTTTAGGGCCAAGTTTAGTTTAGATCCCAGCCCTGACCTCTACAAATGGAATACCCAGGATTCAGCTCTTTATTAGGGTACCTCCTCTCTCATCAGGCAGATTGATTAAAAAATGGGTCTAGGATGAGTCAGAGATAATGGGACAGAGTGGGAATTTTTCTTAGAATTTCTAGCAAGAAACTTTCACTGTCTTCCCACTGGATGTGAATGAGAGAATACATAGCACCTGCTTCTGCCTCAGCAATTTGCCATCATGGTGGCATAAGACAAGAGTATGGATGTGAGAGTTGGACTGTGAAGAAAGCTGAGTGCCGAAAAATTGATGTTTTTGAACTGTGGTGTTGGAGAAGACTCTTGAGAGTCCCTTGGACTGCAAGAATATCCAACCAGTCCATCCTAAAGGAGATCAGTCCTGGGTGTCCATTGGAAAGACTGATGCTGAAGCTGAAACTCCAGTACTTTAGCCACCTCATGCGAAAAGTTGACTCATTGGAAAAGACCCTGATGCTGGGAGGGATTGGGGGCAGGAGGAGAAGGGGACGACAGAAGATGAGATGGCTGGATGGCATCACCGACTCGATGGACATGAGTTTGAGTAAACTCCGGGAGTTGGTGATGGACAGGGAGGCCTGGTGTGCTGCTATTCATGGAGTCACAGAGAGACACGACTGATTAAACTGAACTGAACTGAATGCTAACAAAAGCAGAGTCAAGAAGTGAGAACTCGAACTCTCCTCTCAGAGGACTGTTCCCAAGGTCTCCCAAAGTGGCCCATCCCTGCAAGGTCACAGGGATCAGCTTCACCAGTTCCCATGCTGCACTGGAGTCACAGGTGTGCAGAGGAGATGCTTTTTCCCAATACAGTGTCTTAGTTTTCTACCTGATAATTGAATCAACATTTCTTGTCTCTTACCAGATTAATTTTAAGTGACTCTGTTTGCTTCTTCTGGAAACTTCCTTCCACATAGATGTGGTCTCTAGTACTTGGGATTTGACTGAGAAAGAGTTTTTCTCTCTTTTACATCTTTACCCCCATTCCATAGATGCTCCTGGATTCTTTGGATTGTCTCACAAACTCCCTTCTTAAAGATATCATCAATGAACACAAATCAGTAAAACAGATACCAAGAAGCTTCTCACCCACCAACTTATTACAGTCCTTCAGACATAACTCAGTTTCAGGACCCACTACTCTAAGCAAAATATAAGAAATTCTACAGGGCTCAATCATTGTCAACATTCTATGGTTTTGAATAATTCATGATTTATATATAACCCTAAAATTTATAACTTAAAAATTTTTATACCCCTGTTATCTGCTAGGCACTAATCTAAAGAGTAGTTACTGCCTTCATGGAACTTACAATCTAGTGGGCTTAGGGAGTGAGTAAATAATAAACAAGTGAACAAGACTTGCTACACAGATACAAAACTGGGTGATGTGATGGAACTTATCTGCTATGTCTGAGACCAACCTTAGCTAGTGTGGCCAAGAGGCCTCTTGGGGGAAGTGACAGTTGAACCAAGACCTAAATGATGAAAAGAAGTAGACTGTATGAAGACATGGTGGGGAGATGCTTCTAGACAGAAAAAACAAAGTCTGTAAACCTTCAGGAGGGAATGAACTTAAGAGTTTGGAAAAAAACAGGGATATGGTACTGAAGGAAGACATAAAAGTATATTAGAGGCAATCAAGAGCTTTATTTAGATATATTATGTTTAAGTAGCAGGTTGAATACATTAGGTTGTAATACAGGAGAGAAGTTGGAGATGTAAATTTAGGATTAATTGGGCTATAGATAGTTTAATTAAATACTAAATGAAATCACCTGGGGACAGTGTGGATAGACACATGCAGAGGGCCAGAGAATTCCCACATATAAAAGAGGATAAGCAAGCAGAGGAGGAGATGCCAATTAGAATCTGGTAATGAAAATCCATAAAGTTGGAGAAAAACAAGAGTATGGTTTCAAACAATCTGAGAAGGGAAGAGTAAGCTGTATTGACTGTTTCTGAGATGTCAAGTTAGACATGTACAGACATGTAACTGTTAGATTTGGTAATATTGTTTCCCTTACCAAGAGGAGTTTCAAAGCCATGGTAGGCTGGAAGCAAGGCTGAACAGAGTTGAAGACTAAATAGGTAGCAATGAGGAGAAACATCGACCAAGGACAATTCTTTCAAGAAGTTTGGCTGAAAAAAAGAAAATAATGGTGTAGTATTTGAAAAAGATTTGAGTTCAAGAGGTTTCCTCTACTTCCAAAGGTTGGAGATAATAGAACATTTTTGAATATGAAATCAATGGTTTAGCATGAGACTTCCAATTTCCTGTCCCAAATTCAAAGGGCTTGGATGAAAAAAGATAAGTACTCTCTGAGAACCTGTGCAGGGCTCAAATATTGCAGTCTCAATCATGTGTCCCAGTAGATCATTATATTTTGGTTTGTTGTTGCCTGACTTACAACTCTCAGATATTAAGAAGCCAATTCTGAATCAGTTCCCTTATCAAACTGCTAATTCAGCATTAGTTTTAGTCATCAAATCAAAGAAGAGTTCTCCTGGGTAGCTATAAATGGAAAAGGCAGAAATTAAATTTAGCCTAATATTGATATTTTAACAGAAAAATGAATAGAAAAAGAAAAATAACAATGAAAACAAGTAATCCCTGCTGAAGCAATCCTATTTATCTTTCCATTTCCCATTATTTTGGTGTAAAAATAGTTTACCCTTTCTTGTTGTTAAGGGATATGGCACTTTCAGGTGCTTTTGGGAAATGAGGAAAGCGGTCTGGGGCTAGGACTTGATATACCTATAACAGAATATAGACTAGGTTTCAGTATTTTTGAAGGTTAAAAGCAAACAAAAAAATGAATTAAAAGTTACCAGCAATTTCTGCCTTCTAGGAAGAAGTGGGAACTAACTTTGAGGCAGAATATCCTTTGTTTTGGAAAGAGCTATCCTCTACATTAGAAGAACCTCTACGTTAGAAGAACCCCCACGTTAGAAGAACCCCCACTGCCAACTGCCAGGGAGAAGAAGTATCTACACTAATAGTAATATTCTTACCCTGTTTTCTTATTTGGGTTGGTCAAGCAAACGTTTATTTATCTGCTGTAGATGTCCATGATTGTTGGGTTAAAACTGGGATGGACACTGGTCACGTAGAAAAGTAGTGTTTTTTACAGTCTGATTCTTAGACCACTCACATCAGCATTACTATGGAGTTGGCTAAAAGTCTTTGTAGATGGGCCCACATTACTCATTTTTGTGAATATTGTGTGGATATTCAACACATTTTTTTCAGATGATTCTTATCAGTAGTATGCTCCTAAATGTTTACCCTATTGCCTCTTGAGTTGGGGGTGGGTAAAGATGCTGGGAGAGATTGGGGGCAGGAGGAGAAGGGGACGACAGAGGATGAGATGGCTGGATGGCATCACTGACTCGATGGGCATGAGTTTGAATAAACTCCGGGAGTTGGTGATGGACAGGGAGGCCTGGCGTGCTGTGATTCATGGGGTCGCAAAGAGTCGGACACGACTGAGCGACTGAACTGAACTGAACTGAAAGAAGCAGCACTGATTTATATTGTTTACCAATTCCTCCTCTTCCACTCCAAATAGGGAAATTAGAAGAATTATTTAACAAATCTGATGACAATAAAGGGGAGTTCGGTGATTTTATTTTTTATCAAGGACTATTTCCACTACTCTATAGATCGGGCTTGCAGCTGACATTTATATTTAGCAAGCTCTGCTTTCACCTTGCCTCTTCTCTTCTCAGAAAACAGATAAATCTTCCTGTTTGATAGTTGATGCCAGTCACATCTTTCTTCCTGTTTCTCCCTTTCTCCCTCCAGCTAATCCATCTCTTTGCAGAGAATGTATCCCTTCCTCCCACAGCACTAGGTGGATGCTCCCTATTTCCCCCCTATATTGTATTTGTAGCTTTCTTTTCAACATGACTAACAAAACTGGGATTTCCAGGGCTACTTCTCTGCCTTCCCTTCTTGAAATGATATGTACATAGAAAGGGGCCGTAAGAAAGTAAGAAACTTGAAGAACTGATCAGACCTAGGAGAGGAAGTCTGCTATCTAAGACTAGAAGTTCATTAGCTCTCATCTCTTCACTCGAGAGAGAAGTCACTGAAAATTCACCTCCCCTACCACAGTCAAATACATTGCCTTCTTCAACCTGAGGCTGACCTCTGAGTTGAGGTGCAATCTTACCACCCACCTCATCACCCTGTCACCTGATAATGAAGCCCTGTCAGAATCTTCTCAATAGACCTTATAATGTCTATTCTTCTCAACACCTGGGGCCTAACCTCGGAGCAATGATCTCAAAAAGATGACCCTGAAGTTCCTTTCATTGGTTATAGGATTAGCATTATACGTCAATGTCCTTTTCTTTTCCCAGTAGGTTATGAGTTGGGTGGTTACAGAGCCAAGTAGCGCAAGGAGTTTAAGCATCAAAATTGTTTATCCTGACTCATCCTGCTGTGATATAACAACCAAAGAGCTTAACAGTTCAGCCTTCAATTTTTTCCAGCTATGAAAGACAAATAATAACATCATAAAAGCTCCTCTCCCACTATACACACACTTCTTTCATAAGTGTTTTAAAGGAAAAATGGGGACAGAAGTTTTGTCAGTTCAGGATTAATCTTTGGGTTGACTTGAGAACAAAGTTGGATGGCTTAATGTGCCATATAAAGGTTTAACATTTGCAAAGTGCTTTGTATGAATCATCTCACCTGCTGTTTCCAATAACCCTGTCAGGCCTTTACAGAAGAGAAAACTGAGATTAAGAGGACTTGAAGTGATGTGGGTGGAGCTAGAATTCAAACTTAGGTGAACTGGCTTCCCCTAATGACTCTCAACTCTGTATCTCAGATATAAGATAATTCTCTATCAAGATTTTTTCTCTTGAGCTCCAGAATGTATGTCTAAGTACCTGTTGGGCATTACTACCCTTTGGAGATTGACACTGCAAGGCAAAGACTCTTCCTGATCTGAAAACTGCTTATCCATCAGGCCTTATCACTTATCCCTCTCTCTTATACTCTATACCTGAGCCCTACTGAACTACTTGCAGTTCGGCAAAAACAAAAGCACATACTGTAATGGCTCCTGTGTTATCCCACATGTATCTTTCCTTTGGGATCGAGACATACATTTCAACAACTCCCAGAAGTACTGGCTGTTGCCAACACATAGCTGAGAATTTCTGAAGGAACTGCCTTACATCAAAGGAAGATGCCATGCACAAAGTTGCACCCCAATCCAGAAGCAGCATATACCCCATGACTGGTCAGTGGAGGTGTATAAAGCCCAGTACTCAAAATGGGAGACCTCTGAATGCCATTCCAACTCAGTGCTTCCCCATAGGATGGGCTGAGTCCTCTGTTGGTACCACATTGCTGTTCAGCTTCCCCCTCTGCCTAATCCTGCTCTCCTTACTCTTTTATAAGTATTTTCCTTCCTAAGAGCCCTCTCCCTCTCCATAATAGTGCATTCACATCTCTGCTTCACAGTTTGTTTCCTGGGAAACAGTTGGTATTGTTATGAGTTGGGTGGTTACAGAGCCAAGTAGCGCAAGGAGTTTAAGCATCAAAATTGTTTATCCTGACTCATCCTGCTGTGATATAACAACCAAAGAGCTTAACAGTTCAGCCTTCAATTTTTTCCAGCTATGAAAGACAAATAATAACATCATAAAAGCTCCTCTCCCACTATACACACACTTCTTTCATAAGTGTTTTAAAGGAAAAATGGGGACAGAAGTTTTGTCAGTTCAGGATTAATCTTTGGGTTGACTTGAGAACAAAGTTGGATGGCTTAATGTGCCATATAAAGGTTTAACATTTGCAAAGTGCTTTGTATGAATCATCTCACCTGCTGTTTCCAATAACCCTGTCAGGCCTTTACAGAAGAGAAAACTGAGATTAAGAGGACTTGAAGTGATGTGGGTGGAGCTAGAATTCAAACTTAGGTGAACTGGCTTCCCCTAATGACTCTCAACTCTGTATCTCAGATATAAGATAATTCTCTATCAAGATTTTTTCTCTTGAGCTCCAGAATGTATGTCTAAGTACCTGTTGGGCATTACTACCCTTTGGAGATTGACACTGCAAGGCAAAGACTCTTCCTGATCTGAAAACTGCTTATCCATCAGGCCTTATCACTTATCCCTCTCTCTTATACTCTATACCTGAGCCCTACTGAACTACTTGCAGTTCGGCAAAAACAAAAGCACATACTGTAATGGCTCCTGTGTTATCCCACATGTATCTTTCCTTTGGGATCGAGACATACATTTCAACAACTCCCAGAAGTACTGGCTGTTGCCAACACATAGCTGAGAATTTCTGAAGGAACTGCCTTACATCAAAGGAAGATGCCATGCACAAAGTTGCACCCCAATCCAGAAGCAGCATATACCCCATGACTGGTCAGTGGAGGTGTATAAAGCCCAGTACTCAAAATGGGAGACCTCTGAATGCCATTCCAACTCAGTGCTTCCCCATAGGATGGGCTGAGTCCTCTGTTGGTACCACATTGCTGTTCAGCTTCCCCCTCTGCCTAATCCTGCTCTCCTTACTCTTTTATAAGTATTTTCCTTCCTAAGAGCCCTCTCCCTCTCCATAATAGTGCATTCACATCTCTGCTTCACAGTTTGTTTCCTGGGAAACAGTTGGTATGAAGACTTGTCTTTGAAGTTTTAAAGTATGATTTTGGAGCTATATTAGTCTTTGAATAGCTGACGTTGAGAACCCTGTTACTGGTGGTACATCGAATGGAATTTGGATAAATCCTAGAATATTGTAACAATGCAAAAGTTACATTGATAGTAAATTGGAATTGAAACTAAAAGAGAATATACTGCAGGTGCACTATCTCAGATAATCAAAAGGTTCTAGGAAAGTAATGATTATAAAAGCCATGGAATCAGATGGGTTTGGCTGGGTGCTACCAAGGCATTAGTGAAAGACAATGAAGGACTGAGAGGAATTAATCTCAAATTCAGGACAAAATTAAAAAGCCAGAGGGCCTGAGGGCAGAAAGGCAGAGGACCAAACCCAGACCAAACCAAATCTACTACCTAAAGTGTAGTAGATTCCAGAGAATATTGATTTGTTAACCTGGAAAATCTGTTTCACCAAGGGTTAGAGCCTTAACTGATAAGGAGTAAGGCTCTGAGGCTTGGGATGGGGTTATTTGGGTTGATACTCTTGAATATCTTGAATCTCTAGTCTCCTCTGAACCCCTAGAAATGCTGTAGTTCTTCAGGTTAAAAGCCACCACATCCTTTTTTCTGCAAGATATCAAGATAGGATACATGACTGCACCTCCTTTCCCTTCCCCTTCACTTCACCACTTTCCCTCTTGGCCACCGGAACAATAGCTAGGGTCGCAATATAACTGGCTTGCAAAGTGTTTGGTCTGTCTACTAGCAGAAGGAAGGAACTATGCACCCAGAAAGCTGCAGGCCCCAGCCAACATGTGTCAACAGGAAGGAAAGAATGTATGGGACTTGAGCCTGATCCTGGGTCCAGGTAGTAGGGGAGGAGAGTGAAGGCAAAACAAATTTGGATAAGAGAGAATTTATTTATATGGGAACATGATCCTCTGATGCAGGATTTAACACCCTGTCAGCAACCCAGGAGACAGTGCTTACATGCTGCTTGAATGGTCCTTAGCAGCTTGGGGAAAGCTATTCAGTACAGTTCAGTTGCTCAGTCATGTCAACAAAGGTCCATCTGGTCAAGGCTATGGTTTTTCCAGTTTAAGTCCTCTTTGGGTTCTAGAGTGACATATTTAATACTCAGAAATTTGCTTCATCCCATTCACCAATGTGACACAAGACTACTAGCTTTCATTAAGACCCAGGTCAGAAAGGGCTCTGTAGCCTGAATGGCTGACATATATGGTCCTCCAGTACTGTAACACTAATGGTATTTAATAGTTATCTGTGATGGGAAAAGATATTTGAAGTTTGTGATTAGTCCCAGTAGGCAAATTTTAATGTGGA